CATTCTTTAATGTGAACTTTAAGATTCTTATGGCTCTTGGTATGGACATTGAATCAGTTGCTTATAGAACAACAACTGGTATCAATATTCCTAATGTTTGTATCAATGTCGATGTAGGTGTAGTTAAAGTGAAAACCCACACCCACACCCTAATTCGAATTACTATGGTGTAGCTAGTTGTCTTGGAAAGATTGATATAATTTATCGTATTAAAGGTGAATATGAGCCTGCATTAGACTATCAAATGAAATGTTTGAAGATGAAAGAACAATATCTTCCTAATAAACATAAAAAACTAGTCAGAACATTCATTAATATTGCTGCAGTGTTCAACAATATGAGTGACTTAACTAATGCGATGAAATATCATCAAGAAAGTTTAAAAATGAATGAAAAATGTCTTCTAATTGGACATAATAGTATTGGATCAAGTTTAAATCATATTGCTCATACACTCACTAATCAAGGAAAGTATAATGAAGCCTTAAATTATTTTAAAACTTCGTTAAAAATCCAACACAATATGTTTCCAAATGGACATATTAGTACTGTTAAAACTTTAAGTAAAATTGGATATATTTATTATTTAAAGAAAGATTATAATCTTGCATTTGATTATTTTTCGAAGTGTATGACAATGAGAGAGACTTTATTTGCTGATATTCATGATGTTACTTTAATTAGTACTCTTACATATGTCAGTTTAGTTTTAACTAAACAACAACAAAATAGTGATTCGTTGATTTATTCAATGCATGCTCTCAATCTTTCTAAAACTTTGCTACCTATCGGACATGAACATATAACTGATTGTTACACTAATATTGGTATTGTTTATCGTAAAAAGGGTGATTATATTAAAGCCTTCGAATATTTTGAAAAAGCTGCACAAAATAATAATGCTAAACCTATGCAACCAACTCCTATTCGACTAGCACGCATTTATGATAACATGGATATTTGTTTATGTTGTCAAAGTGATGATGAACATGGATTGAATTATCGCATGGCAGCTGATAAATGAATCGAGCAAACTTCCCCTCGTAGTCAGCATGTTGATTGGATAGATACTATTAGAAATGTATTTAGTGACAAAAAATTATTCGACAATGCTTTGGAATGTTATGGAATAAGTTTAAATATAAAATTGGACTGTTTGCCAGAGGATAATGTTGATATAGCAGACAGTTTCATGTATCTGGGTGATATTTATATCGAAAAGACGAATCTTGGAAACAGGCAATCTAAAATTGCAGCTCGATCATATTATCAAAGAGCATTGATCATTTATCAAAAATGGAATCATTTGAATATAATTTATATTTTCAACTACATTTGTTCCATTTATCAAAATATGCATAAAAATCGTTTTGCAGCTAAATATTATAGCAAAGCACTAGAAATGTCCGAGAAATACTGTCCTTCAAATAAGTCTGTTCAACAAGCACATGAAGATAATATTGCTCATGTGAAATGGTTTATGAATTAATAGATTGAAAAAGATTAATAGAAGACTTTCTTTAATAAATACAGTTATCGAATTATCTGATTACTTTTGAAATAGGTATCCTAATACTCGACTACTTGATGATAAACATAATTATCAGATGAAAAAAGATTGTAGTAAAGTCTATGCGTGAGCAAAGTATGAAACATGATGTAGCTGCGCTTGTTGTATAATCTAGTAATATATTTTCGTTTGTAAGCATGTATTTTGTTTTTGTATGTCTAGAAATGTAAGCTAACGGAAAATTTTGCGGCAGCTAGAAAATTTGAAATCGAAAAATCCTTTCAAAGATCACAAATTGCCGGTAATTACAATGGCGTAATTGTGTAAGCAAAAAGGAATACGAAAAAAAGAAGGGTGTAAGTGTGGGCGTGGATAAAAAAAAACCTACACCCATACCCTTACGTTGCTCTTTCCTTGGCCTCATCTCCTTTCTTTTCATCATCTCTTATTCTACTCGTGTATATAAGTGTGTGGTTTATATGTAAACGACACGATTTTATGATACGAAGGAACAGAATAAAGTGTATCTCCATCCACACTAACAGCTCTTCTATCATTTATCGTCACAAGACGATTGATGATATGAAGAAACATAATAAAGCGTTATTCCATCAGCACTAATACTTCTTCTATCTGAAAATCGTCACAATTATATTTCAATTACGAATATGTCACACTTCACATGAGAATTTCAGTTGAAATTGAAATTCGCGAAGAAATAGAAAAAAATTTCTCATGAGAATAAAGCTTCGCGAATCAGACGAAATGATCGACTTAGACAAGAATTCATATGATTAAGACACATTAAACTACGTTAATAAACAATACTTGAATATTTTCTCAGCGCTTTTTACTGTAGTATCAGAAAATCCGATCAAAAACTCATCAAGAAAAATTATTCAACGTATACCATCGATTATAATATTTAAAAAAATTAATTTAGCTTTAACTTTTTTTAAAGTTCTTAAACAATTTCAATTCAGATTTTATTAACTTCATCATTATAAAATAAACCTGTTGTCCAATATACCGTTATTTTTATTAAATCTGTCCACCACGTCACACTGTTGCTCGTCTAAATACATGCTAAAAAAATGTATTGAAAAATATTCATCAAATATTTAACGTTCCTATTATCAGAAAAAAACATTTTCATTTATACTGATATAGAAAAAAAATTAAACAGATTCAGCAAATCGCTCAATGTTCCCATGTTCCATCATATAGAAAAATATCGAGAGATAAATTATACAGTGCATCTCAATTGGTTTCCCCTCCTACGTATTTTCGACTTTATACTATTATAGTTTATTTTGTTTTTAATAATGAGTATATAGGGAGAAAGCACAAACTTCACTGCATCAAATGATATATTAATCATATATAACCAATATAAATGAAAAAACAAAAAATGCATTAGAAAAAAAGATGATAGTTTTTTTTCACTACAATACCGGGTGTCCAAAATGTTGTAACCATTTTTATTTCGCGCAAATCTCGGCTTAGGTGAATGATAAAATCTTGAACTTTTTTCCAGAAGATACGCCGTGAAAAGCACTACAAAAATTGTATGATCGAATTCCTTTTTTACTTGTCCTGATGATTTTTCTTACACACAAAATGAACAACTTACATGGCAGCGTCACTTCCTATCATAGAGAAAATATTGCCAGGACTTTTCTGATTCGCTATATGATTTGGTCTATACACATTTTGTAGCGGTTACGACGGCACATCTTTAGAAAACAATTCAATATTCCATCATTTTCTCAACTCGAAATATATGTAAAACAAAATAGTCTTCCAAACATTCTCAATATGATGGACAGAGACACTGTCATATAGGTTTTTCATTTTGAGTATAAGAAAAACCATTAGAACAGGTAAAAAGGAATTCAATCATGCATTTTTGTAGAGCTTTTCACCGCACATCTTCTGGAAAAAAATTCAAGGTTTTATCATTTACCCAAGCCGAAGTATACACGAAACAAAAAAAAAATGTTACAACATTATGGATATCGGGCAGTAAAAAAATGTCATTTTTTTCTAATACATCTTTTACACTTCAAATTGCATATGATGTTTAATGTAAATATACCAAAATATGCAGAGCGTTCCGGACTTTCTCGCTATATATACTAGGTTAATAAATAAAAGAAGTATAGTAAAAAAAAAACAAAAAAAATATCAAAAGGGGGAAACCATTTGAGGTGCACTGTATTAAAGAAAGAAACATGAATTAAAAATATATGTTTCAAGTAAATTAACCAATAATTCAATGTTCCCAAATCTCCGGCATTTACAAAAGTACAGAGAGAGAATTTATATCCAAGAAAAAAAAATTAAAAAACATCTGTTTCAGATAAATTTAGAGCATGATTCAATGTCCCCATGATCCCATTATTAAAAAAATTATGACGAAAATATTTAAATTTATGTAAGTAGAAAAGCAAATAACACACTTATTAATTGTAAATGTTTTCGAGTTTATATCTTAACGGAAATTGTAAATAGAAAATGAAAAAGCCTATACCAATCTCAATTAAATTCTAAACTCGCCTGCCACATAAACAAAGTAATGTTTTATGTTCGCTTCTAGAGCTTGAAATAACCCTTAACCCTATATCAACGCGAAAAAAAACAACAATCAACTATAATTATTTTTTTTTTGGAACTTAAGGGAGCACAGCAAGTTATTCCTGGTGTTGACATATGATACAATGTTCTGTAGCGGGACGGCAACTACTCTTTTTTTATACCTTAACATGAAGAAGCATAGAATGTGTAAAAGAACCATTACATTGCTTTTTTTCAGAATCTATATTCAATTCAACATTTTCTTTCTCGTCAACAGTACTATGTACTGTCGATTACTATTTACTGTTCTCTTTTGCTTATTTTTTTCGACTGCTACATCGATTGAATGTTATTCAGGCACGGATAACAAATGTATGTTAGCGCCTGATATCAAAGATTGTCTTTTAGGAGAACCTTGCGTATGTGGGAAATATCGTTTTAAATGTAAACAACGGTATACAGAATGCAATCAAGAGGAACAATCAACGGGAACTATCAAATGGTCATATATAGTTGTTTCTAAAAGCCTATGTGAAGTATTGAAAAATCCATTCTTTGGCACTTCTGATGTGACATGCTGCACGACTAATCGATGCAATCGACCTGATCATGGCAAATGCTCATCGTCTCAAAGTCGTCGTCGAGCTCTACGTAAACTTACTGATTTACTAGCCTTTTAATGGTAAATATTCATGAAAAGCCGAGGAACAAAAAAAAATAGATTTCATTATAATACAATTTCATTTATTCGACCCATTTTATATTAAATAAAAAAACTCATATAATCATATATAATTTGAATTGCTCTCATTATTTTTCCTAAGTATTGCTATTATGCATCATAACTGATAGAAAGATAAAAAAACAAAGTTAACCCTTTTAAGAGACTACTTTAGATATATGTTTGATATCAACTATTTGATTTATTGGATAAAATTCATATATTACAATGATACAGTTTCACGAAAATACATCTTTATGTATGAAATTGTAAAAATATGCAAGAAAAGATCATTTTAGTAAACATTGTTTAGAGAAAAAAATGTACATGAATTGGAAAGATCTATAGTCATCTATGATCACCAGGTTCGCCTATTTAGAAAAGAAAATATTATTCGTAGATGCAATATTGAAATTGTCAATCAAAAATATGCATGATTCAGAACAACTGTTACATATCGTCAGATTCGAAGATTTTAAAGTCAATGGACTCTAGTAGTCTGAGCAATCTGTAGATTGCATTAGACATCAAATATAAAAAACAACTGGAAAATAAGTGTTAGCTTATTTCAACGAGCTTAACTTAGTTTATTTATTTCATATGTTAAATCTCTTCAAAAATGTCCTTAACCCTTTACCCCCCATGGAGGTTCCAGAAGAGCCACTGATAAAATAACTTTATTAATACAGTACTACCCGCGCTAGTATGCAACTGGCA